CACATCAGAAGCCTATGCGCCGCAACTGGAGGAAAAGCCCAAGTGCCACAAGGAAGACTCAGTGCAGCCAAAAAAAAACTAAAGGTCCCAAATCAGTTGACTTTGAGTTAGTCAAAAGGAAGATGATTATAGGTGGGCTTGACCTAAATCAGATAAAAAACAGGGACTGAGCACTTCCCAAAGAGAAGCACTCTCCTCCCGGCCTTGAAGGAGCAGCAACCACACTGTGGGCTGCCTGTGGAGAGGCATGGATTCTTGAAGCTGAGGGCCTCCATCCTACAAGCTCAGGAAGGTAAACTCTGTCAACATCAATGAGCTTGGAAGAGGGCCCCAAGTTCAAGGTGAGAATGTAGCCCAGGTAACACCTTGACTGTACCTTCAAGAGACTGTTGAATGAAATGTCCAGATAAGCTGTACCTAGACTCTTGAATCCACAGAAACTCTAAGATAGTAAATGTATACTATTTCAAACTGCTAAAGTTGTGGTAATTTGTTACACAGTATTAGCATAACTAACATAGGCAAAGCTACTAAGAGAAACGGCCCAAGCAATCAGGGAGGGGACAATATGTAAAACACAAACAGTGCATGGAAGGGGAATACACTGGCATCCCAAAGTCCAGATTAGGTCAGAGCACTAACCACACTGTTGTGATTGTTTACATCTTTCCCTAAACCACGCTCTAAGGGGTGCCGCCATCAGCATCTCTTCTATAGACAATTTTTACAGACTTCTCAGCAGGTCCTGACCCTGGATCTGTGAGTGCAGGAATGAAGACGTCAGGTATGTTCACAGTCTGGGTGAGGTGTCAAATACACACAGATGTGTGTAGCTGAGTGTTAGTGCTGCCTCAGAAGACTGAATGAGGTGCTCTGGGAGCACTAGGGGCTAACCCGTCTGGTGGGGGCCCCAGAAATGTTTATGGAGAATCCACAGCATTTTTGAGTCATAAAGGGTGGGCAGAAAAATTATATATATATAATTAATATATATTATATAATATATATTATATAAATATAAAATATTTATATAAAATATAAAATAATATATAATTATAATTATAAAAATATAAGTTATAATATAAATTAAAAATATAATTATAAAATATAATACTTATAAATATATAAATATATATTTAATATATAATTATTATATATATTTATACATATAAAATTATATATATAATTATTATATATAGTAGGGTGGCTTCTCCACCAGGGCTTCCCTGGGGGCTCAGACAGTAGAGAATCTGCCAGCACTGCAGGAGACCCAGGTTCGATCCCTGGGTCAAGGAAATCTGGCGAAGGGAATGGCTACCCTATATACGTACGTACAAAAACTGCTACTGCATTGAGTTATGGGGGAAGTTATGGGTGACTTATGGAGGAAGAAAACAGACATCAGTTCAGGCCCCTTTGTGATGGGCCTTCCCCATCTAAAATGTTGAGATTTGAGTAGATTTGTTGTTGCTGTTGATAATTGATGACAAACAACAAAAACCGTCTACACCGAGGAGTGAGAGCATGTGTGTGTGTTGTGGGAAGATGTACGGGACAGCAGACGGCAGCAGGAGGCAAGACCAGAGACAAGAGAAGGGGTGAGAAAGCCAGCGCAGGATACAAGTGTGTTCCACTTGCTCCTTTGTCCCTGCTTTGAGCAAAGGGCCCACCTAAGAGTTGGGGGCAGAAAGTGCTTATTGAATCATAAACCGACAGATCATCAAAAGAAGGCTCCCAAGGCAGTGGACATGGAAGCAGCAATCCCTAAAAAGTTGAAAGAGTTTTCACTCACCATGAAGCTGGGAAGGGAATATTTTAGGCATCCAGGGTGTGAGGGATGAGGCAGAGGACAAGGGTTGTAAAAACAGAAAGTCCAGACTCAGGACCTCTGTTGAGCTCTAGCTGGAGTAGAAAGGGGCCACCTCAAGGCCTGAGGGGTTTAGAGTGTCTCAGGGATCCAATCCAGCACCATGGTTCAGGCTTGGGGTCCTCCCTGACCCTCAGCATGGAAGTTCAGGCACATTCTAGCTCAGGCTACATTAATAGCCAATTCTCCCTCCCAGTCAGCTTTTTAGGGAGCTGTTCATTTTCCATTGGCTCATCCTTATTCTTTTGCCTAAGAGGGAGGTGATATATATATACACACATATGTATATATACACACTTATATACACATACATATAGCACAGAAATGGTAAGGACCTAACAGAAGCAGAAGATATTAAGAAGAGGTGGCAAGAATACACAGAAGAACTATACAAAAAGATCTTCATGACCCAGATAATCATGGTGGTATGATCACTCACCTAGAGCCAGACGTCCTGGAATGTGAAGTCAAGCGGGTCTTAGGAAGCATCACTACGAACAAAGCTAGTGGATGTGATGGAATTCCAGTTGAGCTATTTCAAATCCTGAAAGATGACTCTGTGAAAGTGCTGCACTCAATATGCCAGCAAATTTGGAAAACTCAGCAGTGGCCACAGGATTGGAAAAGGTCAGTTTTCATTACAATCCCAAAGAAAGACAATGCCAAAGAATGCTCAAACTACAGCACAATTGTACTCATCTCACACACTAGTAAAGTAATGCTCAAAATTCTTCAAGCCAGGCTTCAACAGTACATGAACTTCCAGATGTTCAAGCTGGTTTTAGAAAAGGCAGAGGAACCAGAGAGCAAATTGCTAACATCCATTGGATTACTGAAAAAGCAAAAAAAAAAAAAAAATTTGCTTCTGCATTATTGACTATGCCAAAACCTTTGACTGTGTGGATCACAACAAGCTGTGGAAAATTCTTAAAAAGATGGGAATACCAGACCACCTGACCTGCCTCTTGAGAAATCTGTATGCAGATCAGGAATCAACAGTTAGAACTGGGCATGAAACAACAGACTTCCAACAACAGGTTCCAAATTGGGAAAGGAATACATCAAGCCTGTATATTTTCACCCTGCTTATTTAATTTCTACTCAGAATACATCATGAGAAACGCTAGGAATCAAGATTGCCGGGAGAAATATCAATAACCTCAGATATGCAGATGACACCATCCTTATGGCAGAAATCAAAGAACTAAAGAGCCTCTTGATGAAAGTGAAAGAGGAGAGTGAAAAAGTTGGCTGAAGGCTCAACATTCAGGAAACTAACATCATGGAATCTGGTCCCATCACTTCATGGGAAATAGATGGGGAAACAGTAACAGACTTTGTTTTTTGGGCTCCAAAATCACTGAAGATGGTGACAGCAACCATGAAATTAAAAGACGCTTACTCCTTGGAAGAAAAGTTATGACCAACCTAGACAGCATATTATAAAGCAGAGACATTACTTAGCCAACAAAGGTACATCTAGTCAAGGCTATGGTTTTTCCAGTGGTCATGTATGGATGTGAGAGTTGGACTATAAAGAAAGTTGAGGACTGAAGAATTGATGCTTTTTAACTGTGGTGTTGGAGAAGACTCTTGAGAGTCCCTTGGACTGCAAGGAGATCCAACCAGTCCATCCTAAAGGAAATCAGTCCTGAATATTCATTGGAAGAACGGATGCTGAAGTTGAAATTCCAATACTTTGGTCACCTGATGCGAAGAACTGACTCATTTGAAAAGACCCTGATGCTGGGAAAGATTGAAGGTGGGAGGAGAAGGGGATGACAGAGGACGAGGTGGTTGGATGGCATCACCGACTCAATGGACATGAGTTTGAGTAAACTCCGGGAATTGGTGATGGACACGGAGGCCTGGCATGCTGTAGTCCATGGGGTCGTAAAGAGTTGGACACGACTGAGCGACTGAACTGAACTGAACATACAGCTGATTCTCTCATGTACAGTAGAAACTAAAAACAACACTGTAAAACAATTGTACTCCAATAATAACAATTTTTTAAAGAAGAAAAGAAAATTTTAAACACCCCTCAAAAATTGTTCAATGGTTCTCAATTGTTTCTTTAGTCAAGTTCAACCCTCTGAACTTAGCAAGCAAGGTCTTTTATTATCTGGGTGCTACAGGACCCTTCAGCCTTGGTCCCCGGCACTTTCCCGCCCCACACAGCTTCCACTCAGCCATCCCTGCAGATCTAAGTGTGGAAGTGCTGCTCGCTTTTGATCTGTTGCCACCCTCACTTGACGTGGCCTCTGCTCATCCTTCTCTAACTACTATGTTCAAAACTCAGATCAGAAGTCACCTCATTTTGGAAGACCTTTCTTATAAATGAAATTTTACAAGGATTACATGGAAAAGATACATGAAACGCTTGGCCTAAAGATGGCATTCAGCTGCTTATATCTTGTTTATCTGATGGAATTTTCTCATATTTGGGGCAGGCATAATTAGCACATAAAATTTTCCTATTTTCAATGAAACCATCTCAGAATACAGCCCCTGAGGCAGGGACTTGTCTCCCTCATGTTTTTAATGAGATGGACTCATGCACAGGAAATTTTCCTTCTCATTTATGTTTTTGTTGCTTGATACTTGTTATTATCATTTGAGCTCCTAATCCTCATTCTTAATGGCCTGGAAGTGATTTTGATGGATTCCAAGATTGGAGACAAGTACCTTGAATGTATCACCATCCCAACAGCACAAACAATAACAATTCACAGGAGTCCTTGGCCCTGAGGATTGGCTGTTGCCATTTCCAATTTTATATTGCTCCTTGGCACACTCTCCCTATTCCCAGGGCGCTGAGAGAATCCACCAACCTGCCACTCTCCATGGAAGGATGCGACCACACACCTCTACCAAACCAAGCCCTTCCTGGGTTGACTTCTGACACCATCGCCCTGATCTTCTATGGAGGTTTTAGGAACTCTCTGGAAAAGGGAAAGCCGCTTTCTGAGAATACATTTTCCTTTGGATACCTGTTCCTTGATAAGATTTCTCTCCTAGCACGTGCCCATAAGGGCACACATCCAGTTCTTACTTGGTCAGTCTCCCTACCTGTGTGAGGTCTGTGTTCGGAAAGTCCCCCGAAGGGGTGGTAAAGATGTAGTTCTCTTACTTGCATTTAGTAGCGTCCGGATCCTCTCCTCTTCCTCGGCTTCTTGGACTAGCTTTTCTGCCAGCATCTTGTCCTCTGACTCCACACACAGGTCAGCTTCCCGCAGGTACTCCAGGTAGTCGATCTCCCGCTGGGCACGCTCCACTCTCAGTGCCAGGTTGTGCACTGCACTCTTATACTCACTTGTGTAGGTGTGACATCGTCCCAGCATAGTGGATATGTTTTTTGAGAACTCTTGGAAATCTTGAATGTATGCTCTTGTTGCTTGGGTACATTTCTGCAGTCCTTGCTTCAGTCAGAAAATAAATTCTCAAATTATTTCCAGTTATTTAAATTTCCCAAGTAATGTCAATAGCTCTCATTCATAGAAATAGACTTTTAAAATACAAACAGCTAAAAGGGGGTGAAATTTTAAAAATCACCCATAATTCCTTAACTCAAAGAACTATTGACACTTTAGTGTACAAATCTCTAGGTTTTCCTATGTATTTAGTCATACACATATAAACATAATTTAAGGTGATTTTGCTACATGTGTGTTTTATAACATATTCTTAATTTGCTGATATATTGTGAACATGTTTCAATACCAATTAATATATATTTATACTATAATTTTAATAACACAATTCCATTAAATTGATATCCCATTATCGATTCCATTAGACTCTTTCTAATGAACATTTGGTCTTCCCTGGTGGCTCAGATGGTAAAGAATCTGCCTGCAATGTGGGAGACCTGGGTTCGATCCTTGGGATGAGAAGATCCCCTAGAGAAGGAAATGGCAACCCAGTCTAGTATTCTTGCCTGGAGGATCCCACGGACAGAGGAGCCTGGTGAGCTATAGTCCATAGGGTTGAAAAGAGCCAGACACGACTGGTGACTAACATACACATACACATAAAGGACATTTACATAGTTTTCAATGATCCACTACTCAAACAATGGTGAAGAAAAGCTTTGTCTTTACATATTTACACTTCTCTGGTTATTTTCTTAGGATACATTTCCAGATGTAAGCTCTACCCCCAGCACCTGCACAGCGCCTGGCACATAGTCACTCTTAATATGAACTTACTGAATAAAACAATAAGTTAAGGGGTCTTCCCTGGTGGCCCAGTGGTTAGGAGTCTGCCTGCCATTGCAGGGACAGAGGTTCAATCCTTGGTCCAAGAAGATTCCACATGCCACGGAGCAACTATGCCTGTGTGCCACAACTACTGAGCCCGTGCACTAGAGCCCTGGAGCCACATGTACTGAGCCCACATGCTGCAAGTACTGAGGTTTGCTCACCTTGAGCCTGTGCTCTACAAGAGAAGCCACCACAATGAGAAGCCCTCCCCGCTAGTTCCAGCTAGAGAGAAGCCATGAAAAGCAACAAAGATCCAGAGCAGCCAAAATTAAATAATTTTTTAAAAATATTTTTTAAAAAGGAATAAGTGAATGAAGGATGAAAATGGGATGGGTTTCTGGGTCAGTATGCATACTTAAAGATCATTTGGTGGTTTACCAAAATGCTCTCCACAAAAGCTGTAAAAATATATACTTCGAACAGCAGGATATAAGACTGTTCACTGAAGAATGAAAGAGAGAAGCTTGAGAGAGAGAAAGGTATGGGGAGAGATGGTGTGTGAGAGACAGGGAAGACACAGAGAGAGAGAGAGAAACAGAGGAGATGCGAGGGAAAGAGAGAGAGGAGAGAGAAATTGTCTAAATCTATCCTCTTTTATTCTTACCCGAACCCCTCCCCACACAAACCTGGATGTGGGATCACATCACCCTGCACGTGTTTGCCTTGGCCAACAGTGGAGCCACCTGGACTTGGCTTCCGACTAAGGTCACCACAGTCAGGGTGGGAAGACCTACATAAATCATACCCTCTTCTTTTCAGTCCACCTTCATAGCTATGCAAGTATCCATCTGTACTCAATACCCTTGTCTGCAGGCAGACTCAAGTCTTGTGGAAAGCTTGCAGGGATGAGACTGGCTTGAACCCCAGGGCAGGTCTGTGGTAAATGAAGAGGGACCACAGTTGAGCATAATTCTAGCACGTGTAAGAAAGTGAGACTGGGAAAAAAAAAAAGAAAGAGAGAGAGACTGGGGAGGTCTCTGAGGAGAGAACCAGCCAGGCAGCAGCAAGAGGCCATCGGCCTGGGAACATTCCATCTGTGGCTCCCAGGCCTCGGTTCACCGAACCTCAGAAACCCATCGCAGCCTGCTCTGAGGAAGTGTTCTACACTGACTGTAACCAAATAGTTTGGACTTAAAGAGTTTTCAGGAAATATAGAAAATAAATACCAGAGATAAGCATGTCTTTCAGAGAAGGGAAATAATTTATCAAAGTTTAACTTGTATAAAAGCAAGGCGGGACATATGAAATAGTTGATGTCAATGACAGGGTGTGTCAAAGGTTAGGACAGAGGGTTACACTGGCCCCAGGGAGTCTGTCCCTGCTGCAAAAATGTTGGGTTTTGCAAATTTTAATGAAGTGGCAGCTATAACGCTAGGGGAAAACGCCCCGAAACTTCCTGTTTAACACTGCTGAAACCTGCTCATTTCTAAAACCAAATCCAGTCAGCAAAAGAAGCACAAGCTTCTCAGTAAGCCAGTATCATGACTATTTACAGTGACCTAAAGTCTCACCATTAAAAGACACAAAGAAAACTAAAATATGCTATCCTCCTGAAATAGTAAAACATGAAGAAAACATGACCAAAATGTTTAATTTTCCTAATTTAAAAACTGAGCAATTCAATAATAACATTTTAGACATTTACCACCATGCCAGGCAATGTTCTAAGTAGGAATTAATTTATTAAATCTTCTGAATATTAGTAAGAGATAAATTCTATTAATGGCCCCATTTTACAGATGAGAAAAACTGCCAGATAAGACAACAGAGGAAAGCCCTGCTCAAGAAACCACTAGACAATGGAAAACATTCAGTGTACCCTTAGCAATCTTATCATTCACTATCTGGAAAAACACATCCCAGTAGGTAGGAGAGTGTGGGTAAGATAAAGTGACTTCTGGGAGGCAGGTTTCCTGGGTCAGGGGCATGGATGCCACCTACCTCCAAGACTTGAAAGCGCTGATAAATATAGTGCACCATGGCCGGGTCCTGGGTGCATTGCGGTGGGGGCAGGAAGGCCATGAAGACCAGAGCCCTGAAAATACAAGCTCGCCTAAGAGCCAGCATCATCCTGCAAACCACCCTGGGTGGGAATCTCTTCTGCTGCTGCTTCTCGAAGAAGACTCAAGGGTCCAGGTGGTGGTCTGCTTTCTAGCCGCTGCTAAGAAAATCCTCCAAAAACAGCCGGACAGCAAAGTCTGCTAGTTACTCCCTCTGATGCGTGATCTCACTTTGCAAGCTGGTGATCAAGTCCAGCTGTTGGCAAGTCGGTCCCCGGAGGCCTTGCAGGCCAACTCGGGGTAGAGAGTTCCCTGGGTCCAGCATCTGCTACAATCACCTTTGACACATGGGGACCCTCTGCAGATAGTGGCTGCCCCCTCTTCAGGCATGGGTGAGCGTGTATGGGGTGGGGAGGGGGGCAGGGAGGGTTTCTCCCCTCTCCCTTGCTCTTTCCTTTTTACTTTTGTTTCCTCCTCCCTAGAGAACTCTGCAGTCCAATCACAGCCCTGACCCCATACACACCACCCCCAACTTCTCAGAGCTGGACTCTCATTTTAGTTTCTGGCCAAAATTCCCGAGATCCTTTTCCCAGAAGTCCTATTGGGAGACCCCACCCCGCCTCCAGGCTCTCTTTGCATTCCTGCAGCTCTTAAAGGCACAGCAAGGGAAAAAAATGAAAGCTCTCTTACACCTCTGTCTTCGAGCAGGTGGGCACATGCCCCATTGCCCCTTGGGGAAGAGAGCTCCAATGGGCCTCAGGCCTAGCCACCCAGGGAGATAGCTGAGGGATCTGAAATTCAAGCTCAGAAGGGTTTCATTAAGAACCAAACAATTACTGATTCAGGAGCACTTTCAGAGCCAAATCATCAGGAATGGAACTCCTTAGTGAGGAGGTCCTTGAGTTTTTTCACTCTCCAGTAGAATTCCCTTCACCGGAAGCAACAGGCCAGCCATACAAAGGACTCAACTCACGTCTTGAGTACAAAGTGGTAAAATAAAATCTTCCAATTTTTTGCCTTTTCTGTTCAGGCCTACTTATTTTAACCTCTCCTACTGTGGTTGGGTCCAGGATACACATGATTCTTTCTCAATCACTAACCAAAGTGGAGAAGGTTGGGGCATCTATGAGAAGTGAAAAGAACTCTGACCAGGAGTCAGAAGACCTGGATTTGTATTTGATCCCTGCAAAAGACACTAAAAGAATTTTCCAGGGTGGCCCCTGCATGTCCTTGTTCCCATTAGTTGTTCCTCTACCTCTCTTTCAAGTGACTTTAGCCCCTAACTCTCCCTCCTCACCCTCTTGGTATCGTCGCAGGCAATGGTTCCTCATCCGTAAGGACAATCACTATTTCTAAGAACTATCTTTGACGACATTTAGGCCCCTATGGTCTGCGGATATAAATGTACTAAGTCATGTCATATAAAGGATGTGAGTACTGTGGGATTTGGGTGTCTTTGGGACGCAGGGCGGGGAATGGGCTGGTCCTAGAACAAATTCTCTGCGGACATCAAGGGGCAGAGAAATTCTCTGAAATAGGTGAAATTCTGCTGACCCTTCCTCTTAAATTTTCATTAAAAATACTGCCCCACTCAGCCTCCTTCCCCAAGTAAGAAGGCTCTTTTGGAAACCTCTCATGCCTGCCTTTTTAAAGGAGGAAGGGAGGTGGGAGGGGGTATCGGGATGGGGAATACATGTAAATCCATGGCTGATTCATGTCAATATATGGCAAAAACCACTACAATATTGTAAAGTAATTAGCCTCCAACTAATAAAAATAAATGGAATAAAAAAAGAATAAAAGTTTGGGAACTCCCCCCCCAAAAAAATAAAAAATAAAATAAGTCTTATGCCAATAGTGCTCTGGTTGATTTTCTTGATGAATGCCTCAACTCCTAACTGTGAGATAGTGAACTAAGATAGATAAGATCCAGAGGAGGTGAAACACAATTTTTAGGAGGCGGCATTTTCTTGGGGTACACTTTTTCTTGGTTTTCTATAGCATGCCTACATTATATACATTCAATACTAGGGACTTTTCCAGAAGGCACACTGGTAAAGAATCTGTCTGCCAGTGCAGGAAATGCAAGAGATGCGGGTTTGATCCCTGGTTGAAAGGATCCCCTGGAGTAGGAAATGGCAGCTCACTCCAGTAATTTTGCCTGGGAAATTCTATGGACAGAGGAGCTTGATGGGCTACAGTCCATGGGGCCATAAAGAGTTAGACAAGACTGAGCACAGATGCACACACATACATTCAATACTAATGGCATGGAGAGGACTATTGGAGCCTCGGTGAGAACGAAGCAGGAGGCCTTATTTTACTATGTGTCCTTGGGCTGCTTCCAGGGCTGCCCTTGTCCACATGCCTCTGAAAGGGGCTCCAAAGAGCTTGGCCTCAGAGGCCTTCAGTTCAGTCCTGGCAAACACTCCCTCTCTGCCCCTCACGCTCTCTCCTCATTCACCTGCTTTGTAGAGACATGCCGTGCCTCTCACCTCTAACTGCCCACACCTGGTCTTGCTTGGTGACCTTTACTCTCGTGATTCCCAAGGCAATAAAGTCTGCAGCTGGAACCCCTCCCTAACCCATTAGGATTGATGAGCCACGAGGCAGAACCAGAGTGGAAACCCTCATGTTCTTATGACCAGAAATCTCACAAAGGAAAATTAAACTCACCTCAGAGATAGTCACAGTTTGACTGATACACAGTGGCTAACCATGGCCTTCCTTATTCAGAGCAGACTTTAACTCAATGGAAAGAAAAAGATGGCCTGGTGCCCTCAGCCTGCTGTTGGGATAAAATCATTCACTTGGCTCTTCTGCCTCCCTTACATTTAGTCTCTGGCCTTGACCGATGCTGTAAGCTCCTTGGGGAGGACAGTGACCAAGCACAGTGACTTGCTCTTCACCTTTGCAACTGAAGATCCCCTGGAGAAGGAAATGGCAGCCCACTCCAGTATCCTTGCCTGGAAAATCCCAAGGACAGAGGAGCCTGGTGGGCTGCAGTCCATGGGGTCGCAAAGAGTTGGGCAGGACGGAGCGACTAACACTTGTGCGTGTGACTTGTGATCCTTCTGCTCTCCTGCCCTGGTATCCAGAGAGAGGAAACGTAAGCCCTTGACAACCACAATCATGTCCCCAGTGTGGCTGGATCTGAGTCACTAGTCCTTGATCTGTAAGCCCAGCCCTGAGTTGCTCTTTTTCCTTAAGTGACAAGTCAGAACTGGACACATCAACGCCCAGCCTCACCAGCCCACTGAGGCTGACCTCCCTCAGTTCCCCAGTCCTCTTGGCATTCTTTGCCATCTTGCCATCTTCATTACTTTTTTCTTCACCATCTTCATCACTGGTGGTCCTTTTGCTTGGTGCCTCCAAATTAACTACCCTACTGATTTCTAGAGCCTTCTTTACTCCCTGTACCCTCCACTTTACTGAGAGGTGCTGGCTGACTCTGGGAAAGTCTGTATGGAGGAGAACTTGTATCTTGAGGAGGCAGAGGCCAACTCAACAGAACCCATCTGGGATACTAGAATTCATCATTTGGCTCTGAACAGGAAGTCTCTCTTCTTTTTTCCCTTGGTTTTCCCCTTAATCTTTTATTCACCACTCCTGTTCCCCCACTCCCAATAGCTCTTTGCCTTAACATCATTCTCCAACCTTCCAACCTTTTACAACTAACTGCATTGTTTCCTGCTTGAGTGATTGGAGTGGTCTCTAATTACTATGTCTCTTTAGATAAAATATTGGCTGCTTTTGTGCCAAAAGGAAAGTGCTTGAAAATGTGACCTCAGCCAAACCCTTGTGGGGAGGAAGAAATTTTCTCTATCCTTCTAGGTTCTTCTGGCTGGTTCTAAGAATTAAACTGACGTGAGACAGATTAACAGGAGAAAATCAAACAAAAAATATAAAAATATATGTACATATGTGTATATGGGAGAAAAACCCAGGAAAACAGAGTAACTCACCAAAATGACTGAAGTCCTTACCTTAAATACCATCCTCAGCTAAAGACAAAGTGATTGGGTAGTGATTTGGGACTTCAAAGAGGAGGAAGGCAATTTACATAGAGATGAACAAGCAAGTGTTTGGTAAACACATGTTTTCTGGGCTTTGTAGAGACACTGGGCCACAGAGAGGGATTTTAACAAATTTTCCTATATTGCTTCTTATCTACACACCAAGTTCATACTTTCTTATCTATGGCCATAGCTCCCTTCCTGGAAGAGGTCCTCTGTCAACATGCTTTTAGGCAATTAGGGCAAGTCAAATGATCTTTCAATATCATAGTAATCCAAGTCTATGTCCCAACCAGTAATGTGAAGAAGCTGAACTTGAATGGTTCTATGAAGACCTACAACACTTTCCAGAACTAACACCCAAAAAAGATGTCATTTTCATTATAGGGGACTGGAATGCAAAAGTAGGAAGTCAAGAAATACCTTGAGTAACAGGCAAATTTGGCCTTGGAGTACAGAATGAAGCAGGGCAAAGGCTAATAGTTTTGCCAAGAGAACACACTGGTCATAGCAAACACCCTTTTCCAACAACACAAGAGAAGGCTCTACACGTGGACATCACCAGATGGTCAATACCAAAATCAGATTGATTATATTCTTTGCAGCCAAAGATGAAGAAGCTCTCTACTGTCAGCAAAAACAAGACCAGGAGCTGACTGTGGCTCGGATCATGAACTTCTTACTGCAAAATTCAGACTTAAATTGAAGAAAGTAGGAAAAACCAGCAGACCATTCAGGTATGTGAGTGAGTGAAAGGACTGTAGCCCACCAGGCTCCTCTGTCCAAGGGATTCTCCAGGCACGAGTACTGGAGTGGGTTGCCATTTCCTTCTCCATAAAAAAGCAGAGATATTACTTTACCAACAAAGGTCTGTCTAGTCAAAGCTATGGTTTTTCCATTAGTCACGTATGGATGTGAGAGTTGGACTACAAAGAAAGCTGAGCACTGCAGAATTGATGCTTTTGAGCTGTGGCGTTGGAGAAGACTCTTGAGAGTCCCTTGGACTGCAAGGAGATCCAACCAGTCCATCCTAAAGGAAATCAGTCCTGAATAT